AGAGAAGGGGGACTTTTGGCAAAATTGTCCCAAATACTTTGACGTAAAACATAAACATACACATACAATTCATCCTCGCTGTGTGAAGGAGAGGTTTCACAGGTCCTTCCTCCCTGCTGCTGTCAGGCTGTACAACGAGAATGTATAACAAGAAATGCTGAGTCTGTACAAGTGTTACTGATGCTAATTCACTAGTAACTTAGTCACTAGTCACTTTACCTGTTATTATTATTACTGCACTATCCATCCATTATTTCTGCCATTCACGAGTTACTTTACCTGTTGATAATATTACTAATGTTTATTCTGCTCATATTCTCCACTGCTAAAGTACAATATACGCATCTGTAAATACTTCTGAACCACGTGCAATTATAGCTCCAGAGTTTATTTTATTTTATTCTATTTTACCATCTTTTTTTCTTGTTTGAATTAAATTGTCTATTATCCTAAAATCCTTCTTTCTCTGCTGTAATGTGCACAACGACGGCACTGAAAATTCTCCATTGTAAGACGAATAAAGGAATATCTTATCTTAAAAATTACCTGGTTTATGTTTGTGTCTGTAAATAATAAGTAGTTCCCCGTGGAAAGAAAATAGGAGATCCCTGGTTTAGAAAGTCACTCCTGTTATCAAACTGTACATTTTGAATAGGACTATCCCAAACAATTGAGTAGAATTGAATTTGAATATATCACATGAAAGGGAAACTGTCTGTGAACTGTCAGGTGAAGAAAAATATAAAACTACAGACAAGTCACACAAGTCACAGAAATGGTCTTCATTAAGTTGTCAGTGTAAAAGAAAATATGTTTGAAAATGCCTATATTCCTCCGTGTGGATTACAAACTTGCAGCCTTGTCCATTGTAATGTGGTTTTAACTGTTTCAAAATCACCTTTGGATTGGAAACTATAATATCATGTAAATGCCATGCCATCTTGATGTATTAGCCTTTCTGCATTCATGTACCTTTATTCATCAAAGGCTCAGATTTATTTAGGCTTGTTTTAAATGTAGCAGCAACAAGTCTTTGCATGCAAATTTAATCAAATAGAGGATTCTCCCCTATACCTGACCCCACAGATTGGCAAGGTCATGAGTTGTAAAGATTTCAGTTGACTAGAGACATTCATTCATTCATTTTCAACCCCTTTATTAGTCCATTTCTGGGTCGGGGGAGTGGCAATGAGAGCTGCCACCCAATGCTCATAGCTCCAGTTCCTCGCTGACCCTCTGCAGGTGGTGGGTCCACAGGAAGATGGCGACTCCGTCAGCGGTGACACAGCCTTGTTCTTTCAGCGGGGGCTTCATGCAACGTGGGGTTAAGTGTCTTGCCCGAGGACACAATGACAAAAGACACTAGTGGGAGCAGTTTGAGTAGGTCTCGTGGGGGCTCGAACCCACGACCTTCAGGCCTAAAGACCAATGCTGTACCAACTGAGCTACTGCCGCCCCCTAGAGACATTCAAAGGCAATAAATCAAATCAATGTATATTTCACATCCCAAAATCACAGCGTAATCTCAGAGGGCACCACAGAATTGTCAATTAGAAAATAAATACATACAAAATACACAACAAAACACCTAAGTCATTAAGATAACGGGTCAAACCAATGTTTATAAATGCCCTGTTACCACCGCCACTGCACCGCCACACTGTTGTTTCATTTCGGAAGTCTGTTTTCAGCCGCATGCAAATTAATACTTTCATGTTATGTGACTCCAAAAAAAACACTATATTTATAAAAGCTTGTACCTGCACGGCTCCACAGCTGAGGGCCAACATCACAATTTGTGTGAGTTCCAACATCCCTGTTTTAGAGAACGATCTCTCCAACACATTGTACGAAGTGAGTGAATAATGCCACAAAGCATCTTTGAGCATCATGAAAAGCAGTTTTTTTCCATTGAGCACATCTGTCTTTTAATGATCATCTGACAGTCTTTTGAAGAAGTAAATCCGCTTCTCCGACACACGCAGTTGGAGAGCTTTGGAGAAATATGCTGAAGCCTTACGCTTTTTGTTTAGTATTACCACAATCCCAGGCTGGTGGAGGATGGGGCAACAACTCTGTCCATGAGAATTCTTTAGAGGTAACCAGTTTGAAAACAGAGCATTTGGACAGAAGGTGTGCGGGGTTACCAAAAGTTCCCGATATTGGTGTGGATGGAGTTAAAAACAACTCAGGTCTTCTCTTGATGAGGAACAAGGTTGTGTATTCATTCTCTGAAGATCAGAGGATGGAAACAGTTGCGTGTGGAGCTCCAGCACCATGGACAGATCCGCGCTGGTTAAACATTTCCATTGTGTCCTCATAAAGTCTTATCAAAGACGTTTATGTCACAGATTTCTGGGTTCGAAGTAAGTGACGCACTGTGAAAAAACAATGACTAAGGACAATTTCAGAGATTGACCTCATTAGGCGTTTCGTGCGTATTGAAGCCTGTGACTTCTTGTTACTCAAATGGCAATAAATGGATTCTGATTCTGATTTTGCTGGAGATTCGGACTATGTGAGGTCTGACTATAGGCATCATCTACGTGTTTTACAACTATAAACGTATAATCAGTTACTCTCTAAAATTCTCATCTGAAACTTTGTTTAAACACTTTTAACTTTCCAGCAACAACATTTGTGATGGACAATGACATAAATGCATACACAACGCACCTGTCTACAAAAATAACTACTAGAGAAACATAATCCATTCAGCAAACAGCCTTACCTCTCTTGCATCTTCACAGACAAGCTGAAGTTGTGACTGTAGAGTCCAGTGAAACCAAAATGTATTTCTAATGGCTGCAAAAAGCATGGGCCTCCCGTTCCAAGAGTGAAGCCCTGATTGTCTGTGTAATATCCTCACATCCTCTTTCCTCCTCAACTAAACTGAAAAAATAAAAATTAAATACAGGTGTATTTTAGTTTTATTGCTTGTGCTGCAGTTTATCAGAGGAATTTGTTTATGTTCTACCCATCAAACTGAAAGTTAGTTCATATAAGAGCAAGTAAGTTATATAGTGGATTATCTTCTGCATGTTGAGCCGTTCACATGACGCCATGGGACTAGTAGCAAACTGAGCTCACCCTGCTCTTGAGCAGTACCGTGCGTACGCCTGCTTTAGCAGCTCTGGGGTTTCAGTTGAAATTAATGATAATTAACGAGTCCGTTCTGGGTGTAAATCTTTGTACTTTACCACAGAGTTTTAACCCCACTCTTCACTCCTCCAGGCAACTCTTCAAACAGGTCTGGACAAAAAGTTCTGGATTGCTGCTTCACTGGTCATAACAGTGCACTGGAACTCGAGTTAAACAAATGATTTGAGCTAACATGGAAACATGAGCAAGGACCATGTAACATTTATTTATTTTGTTAGAGTTGCATTTGAACACTCTTGAAATAAAGTAAAGACAGTAAAGATGAGAATGAACTGGTCCTTTCATATTTCTCCAAGATTTTCCCTCAAACAATGTCGTCTTTACCCACAATGAAAAGTACTTTTTATTCTTTTTATCCCAGTTAAAAGAGCAGTCATGAACAGTGGTTGTCGTAGTCCAAGGCCTGCAGGAGGGTCAGTGAGGAGCTGGTGCCTGTTACTTGGGTTGCATCTCTGATGGCAACCCCCCTGACCCAGAAATGGATTAAGGGGTAGACAATGGATGGATGGATGATTCATAATAGGAATAATAAAGATATACCAATATCAAAATGATAAAAAATAAAAACATATATGGGATATGGATTTATTCTTCTGTAATCGCAACACTCCACAGCCACACACCACACATAACTGTTTTTCTGCTCGTATTGTGACAGTGGCTGGTGGAATGCTTTCTTTCTCCACAGGTGGTGTCCTACATACGTGACAGTATGTCCTAAGCCATACACTTCTTTTTCCTCCGCAGGCCAGAGCAAAGTTACAAAACAGTGCATTCCTCCCAGCGTGGACAGATCCCTATCACAACAGGCTCCCAGCAGGTGGATTCCAGGACCACTCATCCATCCACGGCCCCCTTTCAACTGCCCCTTAATGTTGGGTCACACACACGCACCGTGACTCCACAGGACTTACAACAATTATCAGTCAATGAAATCTAATAATTAAAGCTGGGGGCCTAATAATGTTTTAAAATCTATCTAACTAGTTCTGTCAAACTAGTCTCTATAAACAGTCACTAGCTGTTTCAGGGAGGACCATCCTCATTCACTCAATCAGCTCAAAGTCTCTAATAGCCGCACACCGTGTTGTGGTCTGATTTATTTTTTGTATTTACTTTTCCAAGACACTTTCTGTTGTAACAAACAACATGTATTGTTTATGAAAAACACATTATTCCAAGTGAAAATGTACAAGCTTTAAAATCTGCCAATGAGTTTTTTTCTGTGTGGGGCTCTGGGATTGAAGTACTTCTGTTTATTTTTTATTATCCTTTTGGAAAAGCAGGATGAGGTTTTCAGGGAATCATTTTCTGCAGACAGTAGCTGAAGGCTATTTGAGCTGATCTTGCATTCGCATACGCACGCACAGACGAGGCCACAGATTTAGACCAGACAAAAGTCTAGTGGTACAATTATGTGTAACACATATACAGAACACATATACAAACTGAAAAATATACATATTGCACCTTACATTGTGAAAAAACAGTTTGTAAAAAAATGTTTTGGTTTGATGTGCAATCCAGGAATGTCATTGTCGTCACCTTTTCCCCAGTTCAAACAGAAACCCATTTCACAATACTGCCACAGCAGTTCTGGGTCAAATCACTGCAAGTTTCACTATTTTGTCCCAAGCTCCTTAATGTGAACGGGGCCACAGTGACTCCCAGTCGGCTCTCACACGCCCATAAGCCATTGCTACTTCAGCCTGACTTGGTGCGCACAGACTTCTCACGGTGCTCTTTTTCCGTCTGGGTTGAACATTTCACCTTGTTCTGCTTCTGAAAGGATGTATCGGTGTGGTAGTACCTCCACAGCCTCCACTTCCTCCACAATGTCACTGGACCACACTGTCGCGCTCTGTCGGGGCATTCTGGGAACTGGGAGAAATCTCCATTGTGGTTTTAAACATGTGGAGAACGTCCAGGACTGGCCTGTGTGGTGCTGATGCTGTTCGGCTCGGTGGTTTGGAACTATAAATACACAAAGACACAAAACATTCACTCAGAGATAACTTTACATACAGTGTGATGAGGCACACAATGTTTAACAGTTCAATCTTTTGTACTCATTGGGATTTACATATTTAGTATTTTTCTTAGTTTCAGTATATCATTTGCTTGTCCATATGAATTCAGAATTAAAAAGGAAATATTATTTTTGAGTCTGTTTACTAAAAGTGAAATCATATGAGCAGAAAATACATGCTGAAACATGTAACAAATGCTGTCAGCTTGTAATAATGCATCAGTTTTATAGCACTTTCTGGACACTCAAAGACTCTTCACATGTCATTATTCTTTCACTCCATACAAGGTGGTGATAAACTACTACTGTAACCACAGCTGCCCTGGGGCACACTGACAGAAGCGAGGCAACCAGTATGTGCCATTGGCCCCTCTGACCACACACACACACACACACACACACACACACACACACACACACACACACACACACACACACACACACACACACACACACACACACACACACACACACACACACACACACACACACACACACACACCAGACTGATTAGGCAAAGTGAGTGAAGTGTCTTGCCTAAGGACACCTGGTGTTCCCAGAGGTCTCCCATCACAGTACTATCCAACTGAACTGCTTTACTGAAGTAAAGCAGCCCCATAACACGATGCTGAATCTGTGATCGGCGTCGTCCATGTTGGAGCTTTGAGGCAGACAGCCAAGTCTCGTAAGATTTTCCAGTTGTCCATTTCCAGAAAATGGATTGACCAGTTCTCTGTGAGATGTTCAAATCTATATGTAAATGTATATGTATGTTTGGGTGACCTTGGTCTGTAAAAATACATAAGTACTTACTTACTTGGAAAGATTTTGTATAACTTTACGCTGTTTCAAACTACTCCATAACTTTATCCCTGACCTCGCTGGTGATCTCTTTGGCTTTCATGATACTGTTTAGTGAAGAGTCATAAAGAATGTTTTAAAAGTAATATATTGCTCTCAGAAAAATGCTTTATGAATACTTATAAAAAATGGAAATAACCATAGGTTTGCAAATCTTTTGAGGCGCTGTATGTGTAAGACCTGTGTTTCTCAAACATTTATTTTGAACATTTATTAGTCATGCCATGTTTGAAATAATATCTATTTGAAAATATTATGCCCTATCCCTGTGCTATACCACCTAGAACTTGTATACAAGTAATTTATGGGCAATACTAATTGTAAAAGGCATCATCTGAGTACGATGTCGCAGTGATACAATGACATACTCTTCTGGTACTCGTGCGGCGTTCATGCAATCTTGAATACTCAGCAGTTCCGATTTCCCAGTCGGAAAAATGGAAATGAACGCTGGGTCAATGGTTCCAGAGTTTCCTTCACGGTGACACGTGTCATATTGTGAAAAAATAGAGACAAAGACCCTCATTGATGAAGCACTCCACTCTCATGGACATTTATAAGTAAAATTCTAAGCCTATGAAAACAATTCAAAAAACATGGTGGAAGTAAATATTCTTAAAAATGTTGCATTTGTTTTTATTGATCTCTTCACGAGGAACCCTAAAGTATCCTTTATCGGTTTCGCGATTCGATCGCTTAGAACAATCTAAAACAAAAGACGCAAAAGGATATTCAAACACTCTGCTCTAGTAAACAACTAGCACGGCTGACCACCACTTTGTGTTAATCAGGGGGACGTGACGTCAATTGCAAGCAAGCAATATGCAAGTTCCAACGCAGGGTTTATGAACGTGCGAGATCCGCCCAGATCTGAGCGTACGCACCTGCGGCTGTTGATGAATGGCGCGGCTGGAAACGAACAAATTTATGTAAGTCACACGTAGAAATAAGCAGCAACTGCCTGTTTTTACCACAATTGAGAGGAAACGGCCAAGAAAAAAACTTCACGGAGCAGGAGATTGAGACCATTATAAATTCTTATTTGGAAGCCTCATAAGTGGCATCAAAGCTCAAAAAAGAAAATATGGAAAGAGATGACAACATCTGTAAACAGTGTGGGGCCTTTAACTCATTGACTACCATTGACGTATTTGTCTGAGACCCTCTATTCGACTGGGGATTACAGGACAATAAAAATAGCTAGAAAGAAACGTATTTCATCTGATCAAAGTAGACAATCCAGTCTTTCAGAATCTGGTTTCATATTTCACTTAGTTTTAGGAAATAATATTCTATGGGTCTTGAAAATCAGTGAAATCTTAAACGGCTGGCAGTCAATGAGTTAACACGCATTCCTGGAGATGTGAGTTTATTCATGTTTGAAGAAATATATATAATGTCAAACAGTTGACAGATATATTGGGCAAATAGCTAGAAGTCCTTCATTTATGCCTACAGGCGAGAGGTGTTCAGCAGCTCATAGAAGAAGTGCTCAGCAGCCCAGGGGAGCATCCAAAAGAAAAGAAGAGATACTCCAGGTACATTTCTGAACATTTGTGTACGTGTGTGTGTGTGTGTGTGTGCGTGGGCGTATATGTAGTTTATATGTAGTGTAGTACATCACAAAAACACTTAATATTTGGTGTTGATCTTAATATTTTTTTTTCTTGAAACTTGAAAAGCACATATAACATTGTCATTATTGTAACATTTTTGCACAATTTTGTTGTCAAAAAAATATTTCATGTTATGTCAGTTCTTTAAATTATTGTATTCAAGTGTACAAATGGAAAGTAGCAGTCGCTAAACCTGGTGCAAATCATCTCTTTTACAAAGATCAAAGGTTTTGTCCCTGATCATTAAACAATAAACTAAACAAACCTAGCCTCGCCCCATTTCACCAGAAACACAACATTATTGGTCCATTCCATTTGTTGATTGCAAATCTGAGTGTGAGTCTTGGACTATTACAAGATACTAATATACCAAAATATAAAAGTATAAAAAACAAAATGTAAAGGATATATATATTATATATATATATGCTCAATTACGTTATAGATCCATCCATCTTCTTCCCCTTAATCCATTTCTGGGTCAGAGGGGTGGCAATCAGCTGCCACCCAATTCACAGAGCACTAGCCCCTCACTGATCCTCATCAGGATGACTTCTCTGTCAGTGATGACACAGCCTTGATCTTTCAGTGGGGGGTTCAGGCGAAGTAGGGTAAGTGTCTTGCCCGGGGACACACCGGCAGCAGACATCAGCTTAGAAGGTCTTCTCGTGGGCTTGAACCCAAAACCTTCAGGCGCAAAGGCCAATGCTATACCAACTGAGGTACTGTATATTAACAATTTAAAATATATATATATTTTATCTATTGACCTTTATTACCAGGAAAGTCTTATTTATATTTCAGAATCGTTTTTTTTTGAGTCCATGAAATAGAATATATTAATAATATTATAAAACAGCTCTGGACTGAATTAAACTATTCTCTTTTATAATATTATCTTAATAGATCCCTATCGACAAGTGTGTGTTTTATACTAAATATAGCATCATGAGCCACAGCAATCAGAGTGTTTTTTGTTATGTCCTTTCTCTGTAAAAACCCTGGTCCCACCTGCAGAAGTGGGCGCAGCTGTGGTCGTCTGTGCTGGCACAGAGGCAGCGGGAGGCCGACCTCCGGTGACGGGGCGTTCCGGAGCCCAGGCCGTAAAGACTGGTCTTGCTGTACACAAACCCACAGATACATAATCAAACGGTGGTCTTTGATGCGGCACATTTTATTTAGCTGCAGTAAAAGTCCACAGTCAATCATGTATGTGTTATGCAATATTTGGATCTGGAGTTGTTTCTATACTGTAAAAAATACTGGTAACCTGCCAAAACAGATAAAATAAAAGGTCAAGGCCAAAATATGAAAATATGAAAATATGCAATATGCAGAGTATTAAAAGGATGTAAAATCCACTAATGAGAAGAGGGATGCAAAGAGAAAGATTAATGATCTCTGAAAGACCTGGAGTGACAGATGACAAATATAACAAAAGGAAAATAGGCCTGGACAAAAGTTAGGGCATCTATAGCGCAAGTGTGTGCACAAGTGCAGAAAACCCCTGTACTTCAATCTTTTACAGAGGGGGCAGCAGAGATGGAGCCTTGATCAGAGGGGGTCATTTGCATTGTATGTCTGACTCGACAATGGAGAATACAAAGTTCCAGGGGTCCATGAATGTTGATAAATGTATGGACATTTATCAACATTCATGGACATTGGTTTCTCCCTATGGACCAATACATATGTGTACATTTTGTGTCTTAACTGTTGATTCTCTGATCTGTGTTGGTGATTTCAATGGTTTTGTTAAGTCCTCTGAGATGACTTCTGTTGTGATTTAGGGCTATACAAGAATAAGATGTTGTTGTTGTTGTGGTACTAGGAAATACACTGCAGCCTAAAGCTCTCTGATTGAACGGAGCCCAAGGCTACATTCTGATGTTTTTACAGCATTGCTGTTCATTAATACAAACTGTATCATTTAAAATAAAATAAAGAAATACATATAAATGCAGTGTGCTCAAAGGCAACCCACAAAACATGGGCCTAATGTTTTATACATGAAATGTTCCATGGATATAATGTTAACCAAAACTCTTAAGAGCTCAGCTTAAGTGGAAAATACTTGGATTTGAAGATTTATGGGCTGTCCATCTGTAACTCCAGGCCTTTTTTAGATCATGTACACTGTTCCTGTACATGTTATCAGTCTGTCTACAGTTTTGCACCCCATTTTGTGTGTTTTGAGCCCTTATCACTCCTTATTTTCTCTAAAAAACTATCTGCTTCAGGACATTAACTGTTAATAGGAAAAATGTCATCAACTGGCTGATAAGAAATCAAATATTGACATTAAATGTGTCAACTCCACTGTACCTGGCCGTGTTGATCCAGATGATGTCTAAGTGGCAGAAGTAGTGGCACTCAGAGTCCAGCAGGCTGCTGCAGGCACAGCGTCTACTCCGCACTGGAGGGTCCTGGGGGTCCTGCGAGCGACACTTCAACAGCGGCACACCTACACCTGCAACGCATTGGTTTTATATTAATATGGTCGCTCAAAGGTGCTTCACACGGAATTGTTTATTCACTCCACACAGTGGTGATGAACAACTACAGTAGCCACAGCTGCTCCGAAGCAGACAGACAGCAGCAATGCAAGCAGTTTGTGCCAACTGCCCCACCACCAACCATTGACCCTGACACCAAACTTACGCTATAGGAAATGTGGGAAAGGTGTCTTGCCTAAGTGCACAACAAGAGATTGTCACTTTACAGGCGCAGTCGCCACACTGTGTGACCTGGTGTTCCCAGGAGTTCTCAGAGGTCTCCCATCACAGTACTAACTGCTTATCCTCAGAGGTTTGACAGGATCAGACATTCACATGCAGATGCCACTGCACCTGAAACAAGGATGGAGAATATATTGTTTTAAATCTGCATTTTCTATATCAGCATGAAGGATTTTCACTAGTTTTTGATGGTTATGTGAAGGCATAATTAAAGAAGCTATACCCGATTTTTTTTCTAATGAGTTCATAAAAATGCTTATTACTACATACAAGTTGTATCATAATCCGTAATTTAATTGAAAACTTGAGCTCATTGATTCAGCTTTGTATGAATTCAGGCCGTAAAAAGTGCTGAGTAGAGACTTGGCATGTCGCTCGTTCTCCTCCACTCACAGAACGAGGGGCGAACAAGGCGCGTCCTCTAGCCTCTACAGCGCTTTGACTTCGAAATTCAATATTCGAATATATATGTATATATTCAAACAAATATTAGACAGCCCTTAGTATTCGAAATTTTTTGCAAATAGAATCGTTAGCTCCTAAAGGTTTCCCCGTGACTTGCGAGGCGGGTAACAGACAGGCTGCTTGTTAAAAACTCTGGAACTACAGTGGGGCAAAAAAGTATTTAGTCAGTCATCGATTGTGCAAGTTCTCCCACTTAAAATAATGACAGAGGTCTGTAATTTTCATCATAGGTACACTTCAACTGTGAGAGACAGAATGTGAAAAAAAAATCCAGGAATTCACACTGTAGGATTTTTTAAAGAATTTATTTGTAAATTATGGTAGAAAATAAGTATTTGGTCACTTCAAACAAGGAAGATCTCTGGCTCTCACAGACCTGTAACTTCTTCTTTAAGAAGCTCTTCTGTCCTCCACTCGTTACCTGTATTAATGGCACCTGTTTGAACTCGTTATCTGTATAAAAGACACCTGTCCACAGCCTCAAACAGTCAGACTCCAAACTCCACTATGGCCAAGACCAAAGAGCTGTCGAAGGACACCAGGAAAAGAATTGTGGTCAGCTGAAACCAGAGTAGAACTGTTTGGTATAATCTCAACTCGTCGTGTTTGTAGGAAGAAGAATACTGAGTTGCATCCCAAGAACACCATGCCTACTCTGAAGCAAGGGGGTGGAAACGTCATGCTTTGGGGCTGTTTTTCTGCTAAGGGGACAGGATGACTGATCCGTGTTAAGGAAAGAATGAATGGGGCCATGTATCGTGAGATTTTGAGCCAAAACCTCCTTCCATCAGTGAGAGCTTTGAAGATGAAACGTGCCAGGGTCTTCCAGCATGACAATGATCCCAAACACACCGCCCGGGCAACGAAGGAGTGGCTCCGTAAGAAGCATCTGAAAGTCCTGGAGTGGCCTAGCCAGTCTCCAGACCCAAAACATCACTGCTCTCGAGAAGATCTGCATGGAGGAATGGGCCAAAATACCAGCTACTGTGTGTGCAAACCTAGTAAAGATCTATAGTAATTGTTGGACCTCTGTTATTGCCAACAAAGGTTATATTACAAAGTATTGAGTTGAATTTTTGTTATTGACCAAATACTTATTTTCCACCATAATTTATAAATAAATTCTTAAAAAATCCTACAATGTGAATTCCTGGATTTTTTTTTTCACATTCTGTCTCTCACAGTTGAAGTGTACCTATGATGAAAATTACAGACCTCTGTCATTATTTTAAGTGGGAGAACTTGCACAATCGGTGGCTGACTAAATACATTTTGGCCCCACTATACATGAAAACTGAATAAAGAATTCTGAACATCAGCCGTAAGTTACCCATTTATATACCGAAACTAAATCCATAATCAGATCCTCTTCAAATGTGTCCTAAAATGTTCGTTTCATGTTAATGGTTACTTCCGGGTTTATCGCGATCGCTTTTTGTCACATTAAAACAGTATTTTTGTCATGAATACGTTAACAGATCATTCTGAAAACCTCCGTGGATGTGTGGTAAGAATGTACAGTATATATACAATTTTCATCCCCAATTAACATTAAAGGTGTTGATTGATTGATATTTGTTTATTGAGCATGGCTCGCTCCGCTAGCTTCTCTGCACAAACAGAAGTAGTGACAGGCGCTGAAAGCTTGTTGTACTTGCGAAGTAATGCTAGTATTTTACACACCTGAATTACAAACAGAGATTGCGTTGCCAAAGGGCAGCGGTCATTATTGAATTGAGAGTTCTGTTATCAAGAGAAAATGATCTGTGGAGCATTTAGAAATTACATTGAAGTCAATGGAGCGTTCTACTGCGGCTGTGAGGAGCTGCATATTAAATTATAATTACGTATTCCAAACTAGCGGTAATCTTTCAGTTATATATTGTGTTAGCATTGCGTTGCATTTGTACCATTTCATCAGTGATTGTTGTACGGCTTACAAGAAGTTGCGCTAATGCTAATGTTTGCATAAGTATCAGATCGCCAATAAAACTAGATGGCTCCGTGTTATGAGAGCGTAGGGGAAATGAGAGACCTGTGAGCGAGTTGAGGGGCAGTGCTGAACATTCAAACCTTGCAGAAACGGGTATAGCTCCTATAATCAAATAAAAATGTTTGCAGTTCATGCAAGGTGGCCCAGGAATATACAGGTAACTGGAGGCTTTTTGACAAGAAGAATGGACAACTTTACCTTCAGAGAGGATGAAGAACATCCTACCACAAAAAACACTGAAACACGTTTTGACAAGATAATACCTAAAGATAGCTGTTTCTTCCAACTTCCTAAATTGCAGGTTTTTAATCCTGTTTATTAAGGTAAAACATTTTTTAAATGAAAAAACCATTGTTACAGTACATTACAGGTTCTTACATTATCAGGGTTTTCTGCAATAGTTGTCTGCAGGTATTTCAAACATTCAACACAAAACAAAACAAAATTACACTATGGCAATTATCATTAATAATCTCCAAAATATGTCAAAAAGGTACACATCAGAGCTTTAACAAACTACAGGTGAAAATCAGAGAATTTGAATATTGTTCAAAAGTTGATACATTCTGTGATTGAACTTAAAATGTGATTTTCAATTTATGATAGACTCATTACATGCCAAGTGAGCTTTTGTTTGTTATCATTTTGATGATTATGGCTTTCAGCCCAAAATATTCCATTTTTGTTTGTTTTATTTGGAGTTTTACAAGCTCTGAGTGAATGATGTCAACATTATAAAAAATAAAGGCTTGCTATGAATGCCACATTGTAAATGGACCTCTGTACAATATTCTAATTTTCTGTGTTTCTGAATTGCTCCAGTACAAATTTAATAATAATAGTCTGTAGAAATTATTCTTTCAGTTTGTCTGTCTGTTTGAAACACAATTATGCGATTAATTAAAGCTTGAGTTAAATTTGTTCTCCCCAAATTCAAGTATTTTTCCAAGAAGACATTATGAAGACATTATAATTCATCACCATACTGCAAATACAAGAATAGACATGCTCGTAATGGAAGAAAGACTGACCGTGGTGAACAGAGGCCAAGAAGCTGAAGAGCAGCAGGAGACTGGTGTGGGGAGACATTTTACCACAGATGAAAGCCTGGAGTGCAGTGTTGCTGCTGCTGCAGTTTGAGGTGGACACCAACGCTGCGCTGGCTTTTATGACGCCACAGCACATGCTCCACCCTCTAGACCAAGGCAACACAAAAATATTTGCAAATATTCAACACTATTTCTCATTGTTTGTCCCTTTCTTTCAAGCTGGAGAACCCGACTTTAAAACCAAAAATGTAACTAATAATTCCATCTTCCTTGCTACAATGGTTTGGTTCTATATAGGGCTGAAACGAATAATCAAAGAAGAAAATTAATCCATTACCAAAAAGTTATTATGACAATTATTTTGTTGTTAATCAAATATCAGAGAGTGTGTCTGCTGCAACACTGCTCTGAAGACTGCTTTAACCATGAAGGAGTTTGATCATTCAAACAAACAATCCTGAGATAGTATTTCAATGACATTTAGAGCTAAATTATATTTAGAAATATGCAGTTTAGGTGTAAAAACAGTAATAGATTACTCAATTAATCAACAATAATAATCCACGGAATACTTGATTACTATCATTAATAGCTTCAGATATCACTAGTTTACTTTCAAACAACAGACTATTCAACTAAGTCAACTAATAAATCCATGATGCTTGTGCCTGGCCACGCAACATCTTACTTGAACAAGACTCTTTCTATTGAGATATTCCTTGGCTGGTTTAAATCCTATTTCTCAGATCGGTATCAGTTTGTCAATATGAATCAAAACTCCTCTCCTTGTTCTAAAATAAAACTTGGTGTGCCACAAGGATCGATACTCGCAACATCATTAAAAAGCATGATATTCATTTCCACTGACACACACACCTGTTGATGAAACCAAATCAGACAGATCAGTTAGAAAGACGTCGTGCCTGCATAAAACACCTAAAAACGTGGATGACTCTTTGCTCTCTGCTCCTCAACCTGGAGAAGACAGAAGTGATCCTGCTTGGTCCTAATCTTTTGTGCGACTCCCTCGTCGATCAGATAATCACACAATAATGTCAGCGTAGCACCAAGCAACACTGTGAGGAATCTTGGAGTCGTAATTGACCAAGAGCTCTCCTTCAAGGCATAAATGAAGTAAGCAACTAAAACGGAGTATTGCAACCTGGCAACATCAATAAAATATCCTTCCTAAAAGTGCCGCAGAAAAACTAGAAGCATGATAACTTGAGCACTATTCTCTCCTGCTTCCTACTTTATCTGTATGCATTATTTGACTGTAGTCTGTTTATTGCTATTCACCTGTTGTCCCATCGTTTGTTTCATGGCACGACAATGGGACCCCTGAACCCAGCCCCCTCCTTCTGCACATGCGGACTGCCCTGTCCGCCCTGACTCATGGGCTGCACCCCCTCCCCGCCTGGGAGCTACATCAGTCCTGCACACACCTGTGCAGCGTGGCCTTGGTTCTCGTTCGGTAGCTTGAGTCCTGGATCTATAGCTGTTCGTCCGTGTGGAGCGGATCACCCGCTCAATATGGTTCTCCCCGAGGTTTCTCACTTTTAAGAGTTTTTCCTTGCCGATGCAGGAGGGTTTGACTGTTAGTGGTTTAACAAAAAGGACTGTGGTGATGATCCAGGACACTCAACATTCAACAACATTTATGACATTTATCAACACTTATGAACAATGGCCCTATGGACCAATACCAATGTAGCCTGGACTTACCACACCCAATTTCATTTCGTACTAAGGTCGGAATTTGCTCCATTGAGCTTTGTTAACAGGTGGAAGGAGTTAACTGTTTTTGGATATTGAAACGATTGGATCTGAGTTTGAATACGTCAACAAACTCTTGACCTAGCTACAGCACCCGCCTCCCCCGCTCGCTGAATGGTCGGATGGATCAGCCACTCGGATCAGACCCAGACGTAATAATGGAAATAATAATTGACCAGAGTTTACAGATGGCCAAAGCCAGGCTAATACCAATGTGTTCTCTAATCTTTTTGTTTAAACGGTTTGATTCTCTGACCTGTGTCCTCTAAGATAATTACTGTTATGATTTAGGGCTATACAAGAATAAATTGAATTGAACTGAATTGGATTCACAAAATTATTTTTATGAGACTTACAGATGGGTACCCCAGCTTTAAACTTAAACGCGTTGCAAATGACTACCATTTATTCACTTCTTCCCTACAATCAGCAAGGAAGTTGTGATGGGCGATATTACTATATATCAGTCTGACAAGCAAACATATTACAGTGTTATTTCATATCCTGTAGTTTGTTGACTGTCATTGACTGGAATGTTGATCATTCCAAAAGTACAGTTTTTGCACTATGGGACACTGCCCCCAGCTCCTGCGACACATTCCAGAGATTACTGCTGTGTTGTTGTCACCTGCAGAAGGGCTCCAGATGAGGGGGATAAGGGGGTCATAAAGAGGTGGAGAAATAATCACAAAGTACCGCAAAATATGTATGAAACATGTGTCCACTGAAAAGACACGTGTCTAAAGCTGGGGTACCTAACTTTTTGTTTTAATTATACATAATACAACCAAAAGAGTCAGACCACAACATGCTGTATTCATGAACATATCATCTTAACATATATTTGTAAGAAAGAGCCCTATACACACATTTGTTACGTAGTTAAATTGTGTGTGGTGTGAAGGTCCCCCAGATTTACAGTTCGTAGAACATGGAGATGAGAATGATTTGGTATCTATAGTGTCATTGGCCCTCATTTATGAAACTTGCATACGGGCAAATCAGGGTGTGAATGAGGCGTACATTTTCGGCATTTATCAATCTGGACGTGAACAAAATATACGCCGAGTCTGGACGTGGTGTAAAATTTACACCCATCTCAACCTTCATCACAACACGCCAAAACACGCATGACATTCAAGATTTGGACAACAATAAATATATTTTAACTCTGAAAACATTTTAAGCTGCGTTTTCATTGAGAATCACATTTCGAAATTTGAATTAGCGCATCAGAAAAAGTCTAATGGAAACATGCAAACTTCGAATACATCACAGTTCATGATGAGGACCCTCTTCTGTTTCTTTGTTTTTAAATCTGACTTGTATGTGTATGATTTTCATCTGTATAATTTTGTATATGTGAAGCACTTTGTGATCCTGGTCTGTGAAAGGCGCTATACAAATACACTTGTGACTTGTGACTTCTACCATCTATTTCTCCGTAAATCTGTGGCAGACCCTGCGCCGCGTAATTACGCATGGCTATTTGTTTTGCTCAATCACCTCATTCGCCCTATAAACGATGGTCTCAAAACTGTCTCAGCCACTGCCCTGTCCTCCGTATGTAGCCGTTTATAGATAACCGCGTTGCATCCTATCTGTGAGAACTGTCTCACGGGCAGTGCTCTCTTGAGAAGTTAGCAGCGGGTGCCACAAGAGGTCCCACCGCATACTCCTCAAATGTGGGGTGCATTCAGACGTTTTGGATCCACAGTTCCTCTGTGAAATCACGGACACTTCCCAAAAGCTTCTCATACGCAAACTTTTTCTCTCACAGAGATTGCTCAGACGCTTCAAGCGGTTAATGATGAGAGCCACCGCTGAGGTGGATATTTTAATATTCATTCATTCATTCACTCACTTCTAAAGTTCAAGACAGATGAGTGCTGCAGTGGGTCTAGACACTAGGGAAAAAATTTGTGTTGATATATATATATATACTGTATATAATATAGCGTAAATTCCTTTTTAAACAAGCATTTTGAGGCTTCCAAACAATCTTCCTGGCTGAGTTCCATGCTGACCTGTCGTAAAAACAGGGCGTGAAACAGGCAGTTTCTGAATATTTATTGGCGTAACTTTCATTAATACGCTGGTTTTCACCGCTGCATTTACTAACAAAGCCGTGTATATACATACCTGATCCTGGGCTCTTGTCTTATTTAGAACAACTTCAAAATAAATGTGTATCTCAGTGGAGTTAACCTTGCACAGCACATACTTGTTGTGTGGCAACACGCAGCAGTTTGTTTGCTTGTGGGCAATTTCCCCAAGTGGAACAATATAGATAACTTTGAACTTTGAGAGCGAGTGGTGGATTATATTGTTCCACTTAATCCGTTGCCGGGTTACGAGGGCAGCAGTCTAAGCAGGGACGCCCAGACTTCCATAGGCACCCACACTTCCTACATCTCATATGAAGGAAACCCAAAGTGTAACCAGGCCAGCTGAGGCCAGCTCATCCCTCCAACGTGTCCTGGGTGTTCCTGTAACACCTCCCCAGGGAGGCGTCCAGGGGGTATCTGAAATAGATCCCCAAGCCACCACAACTGGCTCCTCTTTACGTGGAGAAGCAGCAGATTGTTTGTGTCTACAATCTCAACCTTTCCGTCATTATCCAAAGCCTATGACCAAAGGTATAATCAAGAGCTAGGTTGGGTAAACTCCTATGATCCCTTGAGTAACCAATGAAGGGTATAGAGCTGGTTTGATTGAGGCAAAAACCACACTGTTCCTCCTGAATCCGAATTTTGAGCCTTACCTCCAGTACCTAGGCGTAGCCCTTACTGGGGAGGCTGAGGAATGTGATGACAATCCAACGTCAGCCAAGACAGCAGGTGTGTCAAAGTAAGCAGTACTGCAGGGCTGCTCTGTGCACCTTTTTAGTAAACTTTTAACAACTTTTTAGCGCGTTTTTATTGTTCAGTTTTTTAATATATCTGAGTGTTTTATCTTATTAATTCAGTGGTTTCAGCAAATAGCACTTAGTCCCGACTGAAACCCACTAGTAGCACAGAGGCTAACACAAGCTAACGAGGACATGGAAAGTGACAATGAAATTGGCTCAAACATGCACAATATTAGTCGCCTCACCTTGGAGCTCCGTGAGAGCGACCGTGCCACCATTGCAGATCTACGAAAAGAAGTCCTTCGTCTCACCGCAGAGTTGAATGAGAAACAATCTCTAGTATCCAAACTTTTTGAAGTCGCTGGTGGGCAGCATTCACGGCTGATGTCACTGAGCGCTGCATATTGTGACACTGTCGTGTGGGAGAGATCCGTCAGCTCCGGACCCTCCTGTTCTACACCTAAGCGCCCGGTTCCGAATAACGAGCCCGCGGATTCCGAGGAGCCATC